CAGTGTAGGTGCATCTTAGATAAATAAATAATTTTACATAACATGTATACATTAAAAAATAAATGTATTTTTCATCATCATATACTGTGTTTTTGTCGCTCGAATGAATTTTATTATTTCTTCAAGTTTCTTCACATACGTACACCTTAAGAGATATCAAGTAGGCGTAACATGTTCTAAAAAAATTAGGGTTGGCACGCAGAAGAATTTTGAGTCAGAGATTTTGCTGGCTTTGGCACACACTCACAAAAAAGTTGCCCACCCCTGATCTAGTACAATCAAAGAAAGGTTTTTTAAAATCACTATTTTGCAGCATCTAATGAAATATCAGATTAAGGCAAGAATCATCAGGGATTGCAAAAATCATTAGATGAAAGGCTGATGGGGAACTTTACAATGGAGGGATCAGGCTTAGGCTACCTGAACCCACTGATCAATTCTGACATAAAAAGAGGCACAACCAGCTATTGTGTACATCCATTTGAAAGTTTTATCTGCATTTTTCAAAAACAGTTTTAATTAACTTTAATCTTTCAGTAATACTTACTGCGAATTCATCTCTTCTAACTGAGTAAGCTTTCTCCAGGGATTAAACTCAGAATCAATGCTATAAAGCCGCATGTGCAAGGCTAATACATGGAACAGTTGATCTAAATAAGTTAAAGAAAAGGTAATTAGAAAGTTTACAAAATTCTTCCAGAACAAAATTCAGACAAACTGTCTAATCCATAAAGGAATGTTTCCTATTCTTATAATTATAATTCACCAGGTTTAAGTACCAACTACTTCATGCTCTCTTTTAAGCTAAATTCTGAAATATATCTAAATAATTTCAAGTAGTGTCTGGACTGTCCTTATAGTCCATCTTAACAGGAATGGTTCCTTTTCCTCATCTGTCATAGACCTACTTTTCCTGGGCTTTTTGCCACAGCTTTACAACATGTGCTTCTCACTATTGTGGTCTCTTCCTAACCAAAATTTACTATTATCTTCAATACCCTACCCTGAATAATATGGACAATAACAACCATATAAATCAGTTAGGTGAAGTATTTTTCTTTACTTAATATTTTCCCCAACATCTTTTTTAGGTTGAATTTTTACTTTATTTATCATCTTTTGATTCAACCTGAAGGAAAAAATAACAGCCCTGGTAGGTGTGGCTCAGTTGGTTGGAGCATCTTCCCATGCACTGATGGGTCTTGGATTCAATTTCCGGTCAGGGCACATAACCAGGTTTCAAGTTCATGTTCATGAAAAATCTACTTTAAGTTCCAAATGACACTTCTTTCAACTATACCCTTACAAAAAGTATTAAAGAATCATGCCACTTTACAATATAAAGTATATTCTTAAATAAAAGCAAACATATACAACTTTAATAGGTTTTAACACGTATATCAAAATACAACATAAATGCCTTCCTTAATTAACAGCAGATGTATAGAGGAATCTATAGGCAATACTAGTTGCCATTATGAAAAGATTTTCTTAAATGTACACAATGGGAAAATTCTTTTAAAGAATTTAGTTCGCCCTAACCGGTTTTGCTCAGTGGATAGAGCGTCAGCCTACGGACTGAAGGGTCCCAGGTTTGATTCCGGTCAAGGGCATGTACCTTGGCTGCTGGCACATCTCCAGTAGGGGGTGTGCAGGAGGCAGCTGATTGATATTTCTCTCTCATTGATGTTTCTAACTCTCTATCCCTCTCCCTTCCTCTCTGTAAAAAAATCAATAAGATATATTTTTTTAAAAATAAAAGAATTTAGTTCAAGAACAATTTTTTATAGCTGAGAATAACATATTGTTTTAGAACCAGTGTAAATGTGGTCAATTAGCATGACATTTATTTACTGAGTAATCACGGTACAGAAAGAGCTAATATTCGTATGATTTTTTTCTAAGTACAAGATTAACCATTTAAAGCATATAATCACTATTAAAACTGATTATATACAACATAAAAAGAATCTAAAAATACACCAAAAGATTACTTTGTCTGTTTATGCTTTCAAAAAAGACATAAATAGAAAATTTTAGCACCATTTAATACTTACTTAAACAAGACCTTTTGCCAGCTGTGCTTGCACCCCCTGAACACAAATTGCCTCCTCGATGTATTAATTCAAGTTCCAAATTTGTTCTGTAAGTAAAGCATTATAATATATCTCAGTCATTAGGCTGAAGCAATATTTCTTAATTTGTCTTATTGATATGACTGAGTCAACCTAAACAATGAAGTTCAACTTTATTATTTGCAAAAGTATAATCTATGCAATATCAGTACAATTTTATTTCTGAAATAAAAAGGGGACAGCTTATTGTCCTTACTTATATATTCATATTTATAACTGCAAAACCGCACATGTCACAGTATAATTGTTCAAAATTCCAAATGTTGGCAAATACTAAAAACTAGGCCATAAGGAAAATAACTACAATTGCACTTCATAAACCTGCTAATGAATCTAAAGAAAGAATTTGTATTCCAACTGTTAGCCACTGAGTAGGTGGTTACTATCATACAACGCACAAGTGAATACCAATTTTTCTATCAGAGAAATGGTTACCACTCATTGGAGCTTGGATGATTCTAGAAATCAATATTAAGAGACAAAATCACTAACATAAAAGTGACTAGGAACAACATAATTAACAGCAGTCTCTTCTGTGGATGTCTAAAATTAGTTTTATTAAAATATATTGTGTAACTATTGATACTGCTAAACATCAGTAGTATTATTCATAAAGGCCTGAAATTATAAAATATTTAGCAATTATCAGCTTACAAAATAGCAATAATTAGTAAATTGACATTTCAAAAATCAAACTGATGCAGAATCTAAAGATTCACTCAAAAATAGTAACAGTAAAATAGCAATTTTTGCCAAAATAATAAATAAAAATTCTGAGTGATAAACTATGTATTTTTACTTCAACAGTATTAATAATCTTAAATATACCTTTATTGGCCACAACTAAACTGAATGAAGTTGTTTATATCCTAGACATGCATTTGACACGAATAGTGAGCTATCCCCCAGTCTTAAAAAATAAAAAAAAAATTAGGCGGCCAAGTTTCAAGCTTACTCTTTGCAAATGATTTCAAGAAAAAACATTATGCTATTTTATTTAAAACAAAACATTTTGAACTAGTTCTAATTGTTTTTATGAACAAGAATGTTTTGAAATGTTATTTTCATATATTTACTTAGAAATGCAAACTTTAAAATATTAATATTCCTAAGTCTGTACATTTGCCACCCATTTCTAAAGGAATGCTTTAATCCTCTCTACTTGTTGGGGGGGGGGGGGGGGGGCGCGCAAGAAGGGGAAGGAAAGCAATTTAACATTGATAATGTTCCTGCTCAGAGCTCCATCTGGTTGCTGCTGATAAGGGAATCTGTGTAACAAGGAAATTTTCCACCCTTCAGGCGATTTGCATTGCTCACTGAACTTCTAAAAACCTACCAGCAAGGAAGCAGGGACAAGGATTTCATATTAGTGGACAGAAAGCGAGCGGAGACCAGCATGTTTTCCTTCATCAAGGGGACATAAATGAGATCAATACATTTTGTTTTCACAAATCTTCTGTTGCCTAATCTGTAGGAAAAAATTAATGGCTATATTCTCTTATAGAAACTAAGATTTCCTAGATAGTATTTTTAAAAGAGCTAACCAGAAACATGAGCAATTCTTACATTCAAATGTCAGAACTAGAATGTCAACTTTGATTTCAGGGTAATTTGCAAAAATATTCATTAAAATATAAATACAAGAAAAATTATGTTTATTCAACCATCAAACAAGGTACTTTAAAGGATGGCAAACATGTTACTAGGAATTTTATTTTAATGAATACTTGACAGAAAACTACTAAATGTAATTAATTATTTCAGATTATGGTAGGACAATCTCCTACACAACATTCTTTCTGAATTTAAAAAAAAAATACCTGCCTATCCAAAGGGTTAGTATCATGTACTAATTTCTAAAACTTTAAAAATCAAAGTCAGAGGCCCTAACCATCAGCTTTTCCTTATTTCATTTATAACAAAATTTGTGCTTTAATTCAGACTTGCAAGAAAAGAGACACAAATGCACCTTGTTCCCCATGTCTAATCTTCCCTCACTGTTGAAAATCAACCACACAATAGTGCTGGTAGCAGGAGTTTTCTGAGCATTCCAACAATTTCTTCTTTGCTGCCCTCAGAAAATCTCCCAAGGCTTCACCATACAAATAAAATTAAAAACAAAAAGATACTCACTGTCCTATCAAAAAAAAGTTCTAAAACAATGATTAAGGGAAACAGTTTTACAGGCTAGTTACCTTCTAGAACAGCGGTTCTCAACCTGTGGGTCGCAACCCCTTTGGCGGTCGAACCACCCTTTCACAGGGGTCGCCTAAGACCATCCTGCATATCAGATATTTACATTACGATTCATAACAGTAGCAACATTACAATTATGAAGTAGCAACGAAAATAATTTTATGGTTGGGTCACAACATGAGGAACTGTATTTAAAGGGCCAGAAGGTTGAGAACCATTGCTCTAGAAATATTTCGTTTCTAAACATCAAAAAATGTAAGTTCCCCAAGGAACAAACAAAATTACTTATTCAGCAGGAAGAAATTCAGTTCTGGAAAACAGGTTGTAGTTCATTCAAAATTACTAATGTCAAATAAATAAACTTGTAAGTTCTAATAAACTATACATTTAAGAATCACAATGTTTAACTCAAAAGTTAAGTAATTCAAAGTAAGTTTACTTCTAAATATTTTACTTAAATATCTAAGCATTTTAGATAGGAATATGTTAATGCCTACTTTTTAGACATAAAAATAATCATAATCTATAATCATAAGTATTTATGACATAAGATTATATGCTAGGCATAAGATAATTATGAAGAATCTGGTTAGTTTCCTACCTTATAAAATTATATCCTATTCAAATAGGACCTTGGTCAGCAAACTGCAGCTCACGAGTCACATGCGGCTCTTTGGCCCCTTGAGTGTGGCCACGAAGTTTCAATCGCATTGTATGTGCGCGCCCGCACGTGGTATTTTGTGGAAGAGCCACACTCAAGGGGCCGCAGTTTGCCGACCACTGACCTGGGTAATTTTAACCAAAGGAAAATGAGGTTTTTAAGGATTATATAGTTTCTCTTTCAGAATCTTTATTTTGCTGCTTTAGAGTTTATCCTTAAAGATCAGAGAAGGGTGGGAAGAGGGAAGAGCATATGTTCTCTAGACATATATACCCTTATTAGTAAGTAACATGTGACATTTGTTCCTGCTTCTCTATAAAAGAGAAAAACTGAAATATGTATATTTTAAAAGTCTCCTGAATTAGCAAGCTTTATTCTGTAAGTTATTTATATATTTAAACCACAAATAGGAATCTAAAATTTCCACTAATGTAAATCAAATTATTGGATTTATCATACTATAGCAAAATTCCATATATAGATCATGCCCATTCAAACAGGATTTTCTTATAAGTCAAATCAAAGGCATAATAATCAACGTTTGTGTGTGTGTGTGTGTGTGTGAGAGAGAGAGAGAGAGAGAGAGAGAGAGAGAGAGAGAGAGAGAGAGAGAGAGAGAGAGAGAGAGAGAGAGAGAGAGAGAGAGAGAGAGAGAGAGAGAGAGAGAGAGAGAGAGAGAGAATATATGTATGTGTGCATAATGACATTTCGGTCAACAACAGAACACATATACCAGAGTAATACCATAACGTTATAATGGAGCTAAAAAAATTCCTATCACCTAGTGATGTCATAGTCATCCTAACATCATAGCACAACACATTACTCACATGTTTGTGGTGATGCTAATGTGAACAAACCTGCCGAGCTGCCAATCGTATAAAAGTATAACACATACAATTATGGATAGTATATAATACTTGACACTGACAAATGACTATGTTACTGGTTTATGTATTTACTATACTACATTTTTAACATTATTTTAGAGTGTACTCTTTGTAAAATGTGTTACACTGGTAGCCACCTCATAAATCTCATGTTCATCGCATCTGTTTATTGCATTATTTTCCTGTGATTGATTTAATCTTGTGTTTGTTTGTACAGTAACATGCTGTACAGGCTTATAGCCTGGAAGCAATAGGCTATATCACAGAGCCTCAGTGTGTAGGAGGCTATGCCATCTAAGTTTGTTAAGTACTTTCTATAACCTTTGCACAACAACAAAATCACCTATTGGCACATTTTTCAGAACATATCCCTATCATTAAGTAGCACAGGACTACCTATGTGTGTACACACACACACACACACACACACACACACACACACACATCATAATTGAGTTGGTCTACATTCATTCCAATATTCTATAGCATTATTATCACAATATAGTACAGGAGTTTTGTAGAACCCTGAAACCGTGGAAAATTAAATTATATTCAATTTTGTTTTCACATAAAGCATATTTTACTGCAAGTATGCAATTGGTAACTCTCCAGAGACAAATGTTAAATTAACTATTATAGCTTCCCCCAAAGCATTCTGGATAAATAATAACAGTCAGGAATGTGCAGGCTAAAAAGTTACTTCACAGTCCATTAGATCCTTTTACAACAATCTGTGTCCAGCATTTGCATTCTTAAACTAAAGACTAACGTTTCCTTATCTTGAGCTCTAACTTGCTTGCAGCAATTTTCCTGAATCTGGTTCTATTTTTCCTGTGTTCTAAAGACTACATATACTTCATTTATCCTTTTGTTATTCTCTGGTCCAGGAATGGGGCAAAGACAATGGCCATGATAAACTGCGTGTATATATGACCTAAAAAAAGCTGAACGCAGGAGAAGAAAGAGGATTGGAACTGAAAGAACACTAGACCAACACTCAAGAGACCCGAGTTCTAGTCCTACTCTGCCACTAATTTGGTGCATGACTTCCAGTCACATTTTCTCTCTAAATGTTGCCTATGACAACACTACTTGGACAAAATATGAAGCTTCTAGAGATATCCAGGGGTCTACAAATCAGTTCTGGCAGAACGAGTTTACAAGTTTCTAATTTGCCCGGTTTCTTCCCTATTTACTTCTTTTATGGTTCTCTGTTTTCATTCTATTAAGTTTTCTAAAATTCCTATTTGGAACTATTTCTTAGGCAATGAACATCTACTCAGTCTATTAGACTAATCATACCTAATTTGAAAGATGAGAGTTATTTGCCTCTGTTTTCTTAAGACTGCTGCTAGCCACTAACAGAGGCTTAAGATCTGCCTGATCTCACGCTTCCTCTTCCCTCACCTGTTTTTCAAAACCAACTATTGTCTTCTAGGATATTATTAGATCTTTCACTAGTTTAGAACAAACAAAATAAGTTCTTCTTATTGTTCTTATTTTTTTTAAGTAAATACTGTTCAACATGTTACAATGTTTTAATTCTCATTATCACTTTTTGACAACTTGAATAGTGATTTCTTAACACCACCTTTCATATATAATATTCACATGCTTTGAGGTAGATATCTGTCTCAAATGTTAACAATATACTTTTCTCACATATCATATAATGCTTAGTAACACTTAACTCAATATTTCACTAAAATAAACTCTTCAGAAAATGAAGGAAAAGTATACTTTTATAGTCCTTCAAGGAGATCCTAAAATTAGCCATAATTTCAACAAGCATTAAAAAAAAATCCTTTCTTCAAATAAATATGAATGACAATAAATGAAATAAACCAACTAAAAATAATAAGTAAATATAAAAGTATATACTGCATATACCTACCTAGCAACAGAATACATAAAAAGAAAATCATTGTCTGGTGAGCCTGGGGTCTTGCTATAGTCTCTATATTTCTTCTGAGTAGTATTTTTTATATCTTTCATTACAGATTCCATTTCTTTACTTAAGTTAGTTTCAGACTGTAAAAAAATACAAACAAAATATAGTTTATTTATATTCATTTTCTCTAATAATAGTCTAACACTATTGTTTATCATACTAGAAAATGAACATACTAGAAAATTAAAGTTAAAAAGTACATTAACTATCTATTATAAATGTAGGCAGTACACAAAGATAAAAGAGATCAAGAAATATTTTCTCTTATTTTAGGGATATTTTATCCTAATTCTATATTGTGACTGGTAACCCAACCACACAAACTATATTCTAAGTAAATGAGTGGATGTCATTAAAATAATATTTTAGAACAGTTCCCATGTTTATAAAAAACATGATTTTCATTTTCAAAGACTAATATTGATGCCCCTTACTTAAAGCATACTATAAACACACACAAATTTAGAAGTACCAAAGGAAAAAAAATCACAAAGACTCTAAAAATAGTCTTCAACTGAGAAAAGGAACTGCTAGGAGATGACTCTGAGTAGCTTTGAAACTATGAATTTCTGTTTCAAAAGTTTTCATAAGTTTACTGAAAAAACCAGCCATAGCTGTCACTTCTCTCAAGAACTATGTCATAGCCCAGGCCAATGTGGCCCAGTTGGTCGGAGCATCATCCCATACACCAAAAGGTTGCAGGTTCAATTCCCAATGAGGGCACATACTTAGGTTGCACGTTCGATCCTGGTGGGGGCACACATGGAAGGCAACTGATCTATGTTTCTCCCTCTCTCTCCCGCATATCCTAAAATCAATAAAAACATATCCTCAGCTGAGGATTAACTTTTTCTTTTTCTTTTTTTAATATATTTTATTGATTTTTTACAGAGAGGAAGGGAGATAGAGAGCTAGAAACATCGATCAGCTGCCTCCTGCACATCTCCCCCTGGGGATGCGCCCGCAAACCAGGTACATGCCCTTGACCGGAATTGAACCTGGGACCCTTCAGTCCGCAGGCTGACGCTCTATCCACTGAGCCAAACCGGTTTTGGTAGGATTAACTTTTTTAAAAAAGAACCATATCACAAACCTATAATAAGGTGAAATATTTAAGAGTTTGAATCAAATAAATCCTACTGGATAGGATAAAAGATGGGTTCACTTAGAACAAAACACACAGTAAAATAGATCTGACTTATGGTGAATGGTTCAATCAAGTATACAATATTTCATCTCTTTAATATACATATACACACACAAATGTGTATATAAATCTATAATTACATATATATAAAGTGTGTGTGTGTGTGTGTGTGTGTGTGTGTCTAAATATACTTTAATCCTAAAATACCTAATGGGCATAATTTTAAATGATTAGACTGTGCTTAACATTGCAAGATACATAGATATAATTTACTGGTTTGGGTGGCTTTGTTTTTAAATATTTCAATATCTTAAAAAAGTTTAACCATATCTAAGCTTATAGGACAGCGGTTCTCAACCTGTGGGTCGCGACCCCTTTGGGGGTCGAACAACCATTTCATAGGAGTTGCCTAAGACCATTGGAAAACACATATATAATTACATATTGTTTTTGTGATTAATCACTATGCTTTAATTATGTTCAGTTTGTAACAATGAAAATACATCCTGCATATCAGATATTTACATTACGATTCATAACAGTAGCAAAATTACAGTTATGAAGTAGCAACAAAAATAATTTTATGGTTGGGGGTCACCACAACATGAGGAACTGTATTAAAGGGTCGCGGCATTAGGAAGGTTGAGAACCACTGTTATAGGATTTCATGATCTGGAAGACATATATTAAAACTATAACAATTTTTTAGACTAAGGAAAAGTATAGCCTTTGCTAATAATTTGTTCTATTATTCTCATTTTTATTTTTAATAACGACAAATAAGAGAAAAACTTCTAAAAACAATTTGTATTAAATGTATAAAGGCCCAGAATAATTTAAAAACAAAACAAATATAAAAGCTAAAAAGCAGAGCTGAGTTAACCAGGATATTTCTGCCTTACACTGATGCTTACTGGGAAAGCTCCCGGCCGTCCCTGCAGCTCCTCCACTTCCTTTATGAGATCTTGTAAGCTTTTGTTACTAGGACGTTGCCAAAGGTTATTTTCCATATTGCTTCCAGGATAACAAGGAAGAACACTGTTCGCAAACTGCCTGCAGAGAGGACAGGTGAATTCTCCTTTGTCCACGGAGAACCCCTGAAGAACCTGGTCATTCTAAAAGATGAAATAAACATACAGATGTAGGATGCACACCTTTATATAAAACAAAATTTACACCACTACATTTTATAGTAAATAAATGAAACATACAAAATAAGACACCTCTAATATATGCCATAAAAACATAAACAAAATCTCTCATTTAACTGTTGAAGCTTATCAAATCACCTCTCACATCATGGCAATCATGCAATAGTTGCCATCACCAATAAACTCCTTAAGTACCCTACTCTTCTCTCAGTATTGAAACATTTAAATAATGACAAAATCACTCTGAAATGTGGATTTAAGATAAAGAATAACTCAAAAAGCAGGCCACATTGCAGTGGATCACCTTCTTCTTACCCCTTACTCTGTTTTCATAATCTATAAGTGACTACTGAGAAGATTCTCCAAGTGCCCATGTAGGTAAGATACACAGCTTTTGAACATAAATTAAGCCAAAAAAATGGAATGTGTCTTGTGTCTTAACTGCTGAACACAACTGACTGGACTTTACGCAGTAGATCTATTTAGGTTTTATGGATAGGAAAAAGACTTAGAGTATTCAGAACGTAAGTGTGACAGGAGGGGAATTAACTCCTTCTTTCAGATGTTTCTGATAGAGGAGGAAAAAGTAGAATTTTTGAAGCAAAGACACATAATGCACATATGCCTAGGAGGAAGCTCTTGCTCGAGAGACTGCAATACATGCTTACTAACCAGAGGACTTAAGACAGAAATTCAGGCTGATAAATTTGTTCCTTTCTTTTGCCTGACACCATCCCACATCTATTTTGTTCTTGTAGGCCATTGCTGTTGTGTAGTCCTAACTGTTATATATCTTTTCCCAGAAATCTCTCTCTTATTCTGTTAACTAGCATAATGCTTTATCTCAAAATATGTTTTTAATACATTATGTATATGCATGAATACTACAAAATGACCATTATTACTAATAAGACAAAAGTAATGAGAAAATAGAATTAAGGAAAAGAAAATAAATTTATTTGCCTACTAGAGGCCTGCTGCACGAAATTCGTGCAAGAGTAGGCCTTCCTTCCCCCAGCTGCCAGCACCGGCTTCCCTCTGGCACCCAGGACCTGGGCTTCCCTCTGGCCGCCAGCAGGCACCCGGGACCCAGGCTTCCCTCGCAACCCCGGCTTCGTCTGGAAGGTCATCCGGAAGGATGTCCCGTCTAATAAGCATATTATGCTTTTATTATTATAGATAGTTAATAAGGTAGTTAATGACAATGTCTGGATGAACTTAGGTTTCCCAAATCTTAATTTAGTGCTAATTTCACTACACCTAGGATCTCAAATACCTGGACTAACAGAACTAATTTTTTTTTAACTTTTGACATTTATTTTTAAATACAATTCTATAAACACTTATTAAATTCTATCATGTGTCACGTGATGGCATAAAGAGTTAAGATACATCTTCACTTAAGATACAATTTAAAAGCAAACAGAAACAGCTAGATAACAATAATATGTGATAAATGCAACAAAGAAGGCTTTCCAGAGAAGACTTGTGAGCTGAGTTTTAGATACAAAAGAAGAGTATACTACAAGGTTGGGGCAAGGAACCTGATCATTGAAGGACATTCTGTGATAAGTTTCCCTATATCCTTAATTTTAAAGAATGCCAGGTCTACCTCCTTACCTTGACTGAATCACAATTCTTTCCTAAATCCTCCCCAGAAGCCCTTTCAGTTAGGCACCGCTCATTCTCCTACATCCCTCACATCTCAGCATCCTTCTCATCTCCAGTGCTGGCTCCAGATAATTATTCTTGCATTCTCCTGTCTTTGTGGCTCATGTCATTTAACAATGCCATCCTATTCCTTCCCTTTTACTGGTCTCCATTGCCTTCATTAACATAAGGACTTTGATACCTAGATCAGTTTTCCTCATCACTCCAAGTCCTACCATCCTCCTATGCAACTTCAGTGTGTACGTGGACAACCCATCTTACTTACATCTGAGTCCTTCAACTCCTTGGCCTAATCGGCTTCTATGGCTCTGACCTCCACTCTAACACCAGTACCTGTTACCATGACCACATCCTTGTTCTGTAATGGCCCAAAATTATCCATATCTGAAAATACTAAATTCATACATCTTAGTTTCTGACCTCCAGCTCCTGTTTCCTTTAGTTCCTCTTTTTTTGTCCCAGTTTATCAGGCCATTCCTATCCTGCCAATACACCATGATCCGCCACTTCAAAAACACTCAAGTCAATACTCCTCATTCCCCTCCATATGTCCTTTCATCACACATACCTAACAAAACATTCATACAAAATTAGTCCAATGTATGACTTCTCTAATTCTGCATCAAACTGAATGCTGTTAGGGAAAACTGAAATAATTTCTTCCACACAGTTTCCAATTTCAGCGGAACCCTGAATACTGCATGGCAATCTTGCTCCAACATCTTATGAAGTACTCTCTCACCCAATTCCAAAGTGGTTTTTCAAAACCACCTCTTCACTTGTAATGTCTCTTCACTTACCCCAGCCTTGTCCCCTATACTCTAGGCACATAAAGCCACACCTCCTGACTTAGAAAGAAGAGAGTCATGGCAGCTTCCTGACTTCTCCCACACCGAATATGGAACTAATAAATCCTAGCAGTCCTTCCATCCACTTTCTCCCTTTATCCCCTTTGCTAATATCTCCTAATCACACCACTGTCAGTATGATCTACCTAATGTGAGATTATTCCCAATCACAATCTTTCAATGATCACCATTATCTTTCACCTTGATTCCTTACTCTCTTATGCTGCACACACAATTTCTCAGAAGACCATATATATTCTATATATATATTATATATATATATTTCAAATATCTAACCTCTTCTCCATCTCAACTGCCATGACCAAGCCCAAGCAACCATCATCTCTTGCCTTCTAAATGATATCACCTCATATTTTCTAACTCTCCTGCAACACTACAACAATACCCTGCAAACACAACTACCACAATAAACTTTCTGAGCATGTCATATCTCTGCTTAAGAGTCTTTAATGGCTTTAATTGTATCTCTGGAAGGAATCTGTCTAGAGTCCAAAATCCTTACATGGACCTTTACAATATGACCCCTGACTACTTCTCCCATCTTCTCTCTCATCACTCAAACACCTTCCTTCATCAAATGTTCTAGCACTTTGGCAGATGTTCCAATAAGACCCTGTATACACTTCATAATACTTAGCACATATGCTGCAACTGTTTATTTCTGTCTTACACAGTGTATAGTAAACTCCTTGAGAGAAACTGTGTCTTATTCACTGTTGTATCCCGAAAATCTATCACAGTGTCTGGAACACTACAGGCTTTGAACAAGTATTTGTTGAATGAACAATTGAATAAAGAGGTATGAAAAAGGCATAATGTGCTTACAGAGCTATTAATTAGCTTATTAGTGCTGAATTGATGGACGATAAAGCTAAAGCAACAGGCAAGCCTAGATCACGGAGTGCCTTGAATGCCATTCAGAGAAAAATAAACTTTATCACATTAGGAATAAGTCAGTAAAAGGTCTTTAAGCCATATGTCATCAGATTTACATTTTAGAAAGATCAATATAGTGATTAAAGTAGACTTGGAGTAAGGAAACTGACAAGAAAGCAATTGCAATAGTCAATAGATGAAGGCATATACAAAAAAGTAGAAGTGGGAACAATAAAGACAGAATATAGCCAAATGAGATTTTAGAAGGCAGAATCAATAGAATTGGTAATGACTGAATGTGAGGTAAGGAATAGGAAAGGAAAAAAAGAAATCCACTGCTTCTGAGTTAGGAATCTGGGAATAGAGTAGAGCTATCTAGCTTTTAAGAAGTTAAGCTGAGAGAAAGATAAAGACTACAGCGACATGCCCAGCCGGCGTGACTCAGTGGTTGAGCATCGACCTACAAACCAGGAGGTCATGGTTCGATTCCCAGTCAGGGCACATGCCCAGGTTTCAGGCTCAATCCCCAGTAGGGGGCATGCAGGAGGCAGCCAATCAATGATTCTCATCATTGATGTTTCTTTCTCTTCCTCTCCCTTCTTCTCTGAAATCAATAAAAAAATTTACAAAAAAAAAAAAAAAGACTACAGCTACAGGAAAATACAAGGTCAAGGAAAGAAATTTCAAATAGCAGACTTTGGTGTACTTATTAACTGAAAAGAAGGGACAGACCAGGCAAAAAAACTAAAGATACAGAAGAAAAAGAGGTTAATTACTGATAAACCAAAGCCCCTGTGGAAAAGGGGAGAAAGGAATACTACAGCATAAAAAGAAAGATTATTCCTGAACAGAAGAAGAAATACTACCTCAAAGAGTAGAAAAGAAAGGATTGGTTGGGATGCAAAGTCATTTATCAAGGAATATTAAAGCAAGGCAGGAAGCTAAAGTAGTATGTGACAGAGAACCACTGTTTTTGGTGAGAGGAAGAGACAGTTTAATGAGGGGAAAGGGATCTTGGGACTTAAGTGGGATAGGGGAGGCAAAGGTTTGGAATAGCTGCTGAGGAAACCAGGAGAGAAGACTGATTAAAGACAGGTAAATGAAGTGATAAGTGGTATCTACAGTCCATGACTTTAGTCCAGCAATTTTCAACCTTTTCCTCTTATAGCACACAGAAACTAATTACTAAAATTCTGAGGCACACCAAAAAATATATTGTGTTGTTTTTGCCAATCTGACCAAAAAAAAAAATAGTTATAATTTTGATTCACTCATACCAGATGGCTATTGTTGTGTTGGCTACTGTCACTTTTTTATTTGATAATCTAAGGGAAAAGAGGTGCCCTGACTAAAATTCTCATGGCATACCAGTTGAAATTCACTGCTCTAGTCTAAGGCACTATTATAGAAAACCACAAATTTATGGAGATGCCAATTTACTTAGTTTTATTACTTTTCTAGCAGGGCTAGTTGCCTAGGTGTATGATCAAAGGAGGCAGATTAAACAACAGGTATTAAGAGTAGAATGGGCAAAGTATAAGTAAGTGAGGCTAGGTAAGAGCTAATGCACCAGGAAAAATGCACAAGGGTTAAAGGACTAGAGATCTTGATGCCAGATGCAAAACATACTAATAAGAGTGAAAATAAGAGAATTTGAAAAATAATCAAATGATATAGTGGGATAATAAAGCTTAATATTAATAATGCTTAATATTTCAGAACTAGAGTAGCAAAGTGTAAAATTACAGCCATGTCCTGGCCTGTGTGGCTCAATGGTTGAGTGTCAACCTATGAACCAGGAGGTCATGGTTCAATTCCCAGTCAGGGCACATGCCCAGGTTGTAGGGGGTGTGCAGGAGGCAGCCAATCGATGATTCTCATCATTGGTGTTTCTCCCTCTCCCTTCCTTTCTAAAATTAATAAAAACATTTTTAAAAAATAAAATAAAATTACAGCCTTGGAAGTCAGCTGCTAAAAAAAGCCCTAAAGTTGAAGAAATGAAGAAACTGTGAGTTTAGATTGTTCACATGATGATCAAAATCACCCCAGATGAATTGGGATTTATATGCTGTAAAGATATTTAATATGGGGAAAGATACATACACCTTTAAAATTTATTCAATTAACTTACCCGTAATGATTCCATGTAAGACTTATGACAATCTATATGTAATGTATGTCCACAGGTTTGTACATAAACACCTCCTTCCCAGCCAATTGATACTGCCAAGAGACAAGAACTCTTAAAAAAAGAAAGACAAAATACAATTAATTTTAAAGAAGTATAGACATATTTAAATATATCCACAGAAACCTCTGAATGATTTTTTATTTGAACTTAGCTTTCTGATTTGGTGACTAAATAGACTGTGGAGCTTTTAAACCCAGAGGAAAAGGAAGAATAACTTTGTATTTTTGTGATAAAGCAATACCAGACTTGACAGCCCGAAGGCAATTTCTTTAAACTAGAAACACCATTAAGATTTAGCTTCTAAATACCTATGCTCATATGAAAAATAATGATCAATTAGACCTTCTCCACCCCATCAAATATAAGCTCTCAATATTATACTATAGTTCAGTGTAAACTATACTGCTATTGATGATCTTAACTGTTTTATATGGTACTTAATCTGTGATTACCATTAACAACTTCCCTCTTAAAGGGTCTTCTTCCCTTTGGCTTCCATAATGAGACTCTCTTTTGATTTTACTTCCAACCCTTTAACCATTTGGTTTAGGCTCCTTTAAGTCTCTTCTTTCTTGCCCTGCCCCTTCAAAGTTTATATTCCTCAAGATTCTATTCTTAGTGCTTACTCTCTACTCATTACAACTATTCTCCCTAAGTGATTTAATCAGTAAATTCACCTAGCCTCCAAGCTAAATCTCTTGCCTGACTGACAGATACAAATACTTAGCTGCCAACCAGAAATCTCCAGTTTGACATTCCTCAGATAACATAAAATTAATGTGTCAAAAACTTGTCATTTTCTCCATTACTCTTCCTTTTCCTCTGGGTTTAAAAGCTCCACAATCTATTTAGTCACCAAATCAGAAAGCTTAAGTTACTCTACCTCACACCCTTTCCTTCACACCACAGTTTTAATTCCCAAATCATATGAATTCTGTCTTCTAAATAACTCATGACTTTGGCCTGACTTCTTCATTCTCACTGTAACATTCAAGTCTGTACATTTGTTGGGGGGGGGAAGGGGGGGAGGATTTCTTATATAAAGTTTTGTAATTGGTCTTCTTGACTCCAATTTCTTCTCTCCATGATGCATCCCCCACATATCTCTCCAAAGTACAAATTTGGTCATAAGAATAACCCCAAAAAAGTGCCTTAACATTTACAAGGGTTTAATATAATGCACAATAAAGAAGGCAAACAGATTATATAAGCCAACTACACACTCGTTTGAAATTTGTTTTTAAAGTTAATTGCTTCTATCTCCTTTTTCTCTTACATCTTCAACTTCTTCTCTGCTAATTCCTTCCATTCAACCTATAAACAGGCTTAGACTTTTCCTCCTAAAATAATTTTGAGTTTTCATTTCCCTTCTGACAAATAGTACTTACTTGACAATGAATTTGAGTTCACCCCACTAGAGTCTGTAGTAAATAGATGGCCAAGCCAGAGCAATATAAGATCTAACATGAGTGACAGCATATGATGAAAGCTTTGAGAGCCATAAAAACTCTTTTTATATTAGAAATTTATACATTATAATGTAAGATGACCAAATCAACTTTAACAACAGTAAAACAAAGTTCCAATATTAAATCGAGACTCTTCATGAGCATCTGAAAGTTAAAAATTACAGTGCAAAATGTCTTCGCAGCCAATTTAAATATATGTGCAGCAGCACAAATCAAATACTACTCACAGCAAGTGAGCTGGCTTCTACTGTTACAAATCAGAAAAACAACAGGAGATCTGCTCATCTCTGTTTTATGATTTGCAGCCACTTGAAGTAGAAGCAGATTTTGGTATTAGATCATTTTAGAACTAGAGGCCCAGTGCATGGATTCGTGCACTGGTGGGGGGTCCCTCAGCCTGGCCCTCAGGAATCGGGCTGAAACCAGCTCTCCGACATCCCCGGAGGGGTCCCAGATTGTGAGAGGGTGCAGGCCAGGCCAAAGGACCCCACCAGTGCACGATCGGGACTGGGGAGGGACTGCAGGAGGGTTCCAGGGCGTGTCCAGCCCATCTCACCCAGTCCTGATCAGGGCCGATCGGGGCCATTTGGGGCCATCTCACCCAGTCCCAACCGGGGCCAATTGGGCTGGCCGGCCAGGGAGAGACCGTGGGAGGGCTCCAGGGCATGTCCGGCCCATCTTGCCCAGTCCCAAACAGCCGGACCCAAGCAGCAAACTAACCTACTGGTCGGAGAACCTGCACCCTGGTGGTCAGTGCGCATCATAGCAACTGGTCAAACAGTCGAACAGTCGGACACTTAGCATATTAGGCTTTTATTATATAGGACTAGAGGCCCAGTACACGAATTCATGCACTGGTGGGCCTAGCCAGCCCACCCCTGATGGGGGCCATCAGGGGTGGGCTGGCTGGGGTGGGGGGCCGAT